TGGAATAATGAATACTATGTAGGGGAGAGGTGAAATGTTCTAGGAATATCTGCCCTATTAAATCCTCCCAAATAACCCTGAGGAATGAATCACTGTTTCTCTTGATTTATGGCATATGATATTTCCTACTGAAAACAAGATTTCATCAAAGGTGCAAACACCAACACCACACAAGAATGGTATACCTGAATGTACTTAATTATGGATAAGCTTGGGCTGCCTTCCATATTAATACTCAAGAACAAGACTTCTTACTCCATTACAGTCTGGGTCTCCTGCCAACATAGTAAGTCCAAAGTGAGCAAAACACTGCCAGGAATGATTTGGACTAGCCTAGGATGAGTGGGAGTTGGCCTGGTCAAAAAGAAGCAAGAAGCCAAAACTGGTTAAGCCAAATTAAAGCTCAAGTGTAGCCATATTTTTCTGATAAACAGACATTCAGATAGAATGACAGTTATCCTATTCCCACATCATAACATGCTACTGTTAATTAATGAAGCAGTATTTAAAAGGAGCATAAGCTATTTATCTATAGAAACCTTTTTTTTTTTTTTCATCTTAAAAGGTCTTCTAAGGAAGAAATATTCATGTGAAAATATTTCTATGTTTCTTTGGAAAGAAAACATTCTTAAAAATCTTATTACACTGCTGTGGAAAATAAAATGCACTGTAACTCTATTTTCAAATTTAGATCCCTCCTCTTTGGTGAGACAACACACCTTTAAAATGGCAATTGTTTCTAGAAAACACATTTATTTTATATCCTCTCATTCAGTTGCAAACATAATGAAAACTCTTTTAAAATTGTATTTAAGTAGGTAGCATGTATTTTAAGAAGTATAGGTAATGAATCATAATGTATGATTTTTTTTTTTTTTTTTTGCCCATACATACTGTGAACACACAGATTTGCAACCTATAAACAAGATATAATTTCCTAGAACACTCTTGCCTTCAGTCATGTGAAGAACTCTTACGGGGAAATGTAAGTCCAGTAGAGCTCTAACTTCCCCATACTTAATCTTCTATTAAGGAGACTTTCAAAAGAAAAAATAACAAAAGTATACAGTATAAGTAATTCACTCAAGACATTACAGACTATAAAAAATTAAAATATATTATGTATTTTATTATGCACAGGAGAGTCAAAGTATCTGCCAGCTGACCTGATAATCCAATAAACCATTTACAAAGTTTCTGGCTTGATTAGAGTTTTGGGTAAACTCTATGCTGGAGCTGCAGGGTCACAAATATACTTAGTAGAAAGCTATTCAAGTAATGCTGTCACTTTGGCACTTCTAGAGAGAAAGCTCTCATATTGATAGGCTTGTTTACAAGGGAGGCTTTTTATGAGAGATTATAAAAATTGATTCCACTAATAGATTCAGAACAGTTTATGAACTTGTGTACATAACAGCAACCCTTTATTATTATTATTTTTTTAATCACAGAGTTATGTTTCAATAGGGTTTCCACATCCAGGAGTTTTCAGAGGAATCTTGAAAAAATTCAGGCAATAATAGTTTGGAGGTTCTTATTTCTTTCTTCTAGAAGGGCTAATATTTTTGAGTATTTGAATGACACATTGTAGCAAAGAGATCAGGGTTCTAACATTTTTTGTATGGAACTAGCTACCTACTCAACCACAAGATTGTGACCTGAGCCAAAGTGGGACGCTTAACTAATTGAGCCACCCAGTCTCCCTGAGAAGCCTTCTTTTAAAATAAAGAATCCAGTAAATATAATTTGACAATACACAAGGTAGTGCACTAGTGGCTGGAATGAGTTACACAGTAGAAAGACTTTGCCCTCAAAAGTCGTCCCATTCTAAATGAAGGAGAGGAATGAATAAGTATATGTAGGTATGCTAATATTTACATAGCCATATGTATTATATATACATACACCAAGTTGTATATGTTTATATATATTTATATATATATGTGTGTGTGTATATATATATACATACTACATATACATTACTACATTACATATTACATATATGAAGTATATGTTGGGCTCAATCTGACATATACAGAATTTTCCTCTTGCATAAGTACTAAAGATATGTGCCTCTCTTACTGCTAAAATTTGGTTATTATTTTTAAGCTCTTATGTGAATAGAGGAGGAAGTATAACCTGGTTCTAAAAACAGGAAAATAAATGCAAACATGAAAACCAACTGGAAAGTAGACAAATAACCTAAGGCCAGTAGTAAAAATGAACTTTACCAAAAAGCCTTACTATACCTCTAACTAGATCATACTTCCTCAAATAGTGATCTTTTCTAAAGAAGACTTGCCATAAATAATAGAAGTTGGAGAATATTTCCTCAACAATGAAAATTCCTGTCAATTTATATTCAGATGAGTTAAGAAAATATGGCTAACTTCAAAAATATTTCTATATATTATATAATGCGCATACACACATACACATACACACACAGGGGTGCTATCATATTTAAGAGTAAATATGTAATAAAGTCAGCAAGATAGCTTTCCACAAATCTACTTACAGGTAAAAGTATGCTTGCTTTAGAAAAGGAATTGCTCTGAGGAGAATTTTTTCTCCATTTAGGATTTTTTACAGCAGTATTTCCCCTTGCTGTTAACAGACTTGCAAGTGGGAGGGAAGACATATTACATGTCGCCTGGACCAATTAACTTAGGTTAAAATATAGAGTATGGATTAGGGTGAAGTTTTCAATTCAAGTTGAATTAAGCCACATACATACTAACTATCTGAAACTTCTTTATAGCAGCATATATGCCACACTATATTTGATTTCTTGTCATTCAATCCCAGGATTCATTTCTGAGTGTAACAAATGAATGTCTTTGGAATGCTAAAATTCCCTTCTTCAGCTTAAAAGTTAGAAACACCTCTTGTGGACAGGCCCATCTTCACTTAATTTTCACTTATGGAATTTATCTAAATTATTCTTAAAGTTGGGCTTATTATTTTTAAAAAATATATATTTTTTTATTTTGAGAGAGAGAGAGAGGCCTCAGAGAAAGAGGGAGACAGAGAGTCTCAAGCAGGCTCTGTGTTGTTAGTGCAGAGCCTCAGGTGGGGCTTGATCTCACCAGCCATGAGATCAGAACCTGAGCAGGAACCAAGAATTGGATGCCTAATTGGCTGAGCCACCTAGGCACCTCTGGGCTTTTTTTTTTTTTTTTTTTTTTTTTTTTTTAGCTTGTACTACACTTCTTAAAGTTACCAGTCTTATATGTCAATTAAGCATTTTGAACAAGTTTCCCTTAAGTCACAACAGGTTTACAAGTACTTTTATCTTATCTTATTCATACTCTCAAATTTGATAGACACACTTCTACACATTTGCCTTTGCATAGTGGAAATACAGTCTTAAAGTCTGCATTCCAATGAGGTTCCTTTAATCCCCTGATAATTTCTTAGTTTATAAAATTAGCATATTGAAATTAGTGTTTAACACTAGTGTTATGAAGGCTTAGCTTCCATAGATAGTTTTGAGAAATAATAAGAATTGCCATGCATTTTTTACAGCTTTGTAGTTATTTTCCATTCTAAATGCCTGGAAAATCCCCTAGGGAGTGTCACATAGTCCTCATACATAAAATTCACTTGAAAAATCTCCTTGTAATCATAAACCTGTATTATACCTTTCTTTGTACAAAAGTAAGGCTGATCTCCTTATGCCATCTCTGCTATGATTATTTCCCTCCTGTTTTTATTACTCATATATCTTAATCTTCCCTTCACCAAACTACTGTTCATGTGGAGTTTTTGGGTCTGTTTTGTTTTCGCAACCTCTATGTTGATTTTACGATCTTCTGCTTTGTCTTCCCCAATAGGTTTACAATAGCTTTGAGAGAAGAAACTATGGTCGCTATTTTATGATATAACCTTAAAAAACAAGACTAGAATACTGTCATCTTACAACAGAACTATTTTTGGATGGAATGGTAATTTTTCACTTTTCAGTGAGTTATGGGTCTTTTAGCAAAACTTAGGAAAAAATAGCTAAAGATACTGGCCTCAACTTGACAAATGACACCTACTTATATGCATGCTATTCAAATTAATTAAGAATAAACATAGGTTTCCCTTCTATTAAACAATCTGTATGAAAAACCTAATCAAAAGGGGGTTCATAGCGCAGAAAATTAATAGAATTAGTAATAGAACCTTGTGTAGCTATTCTGTTAAAATACATGCATGATCACAAAGGATAGAACTACACATATAAGACAACCTTCACCAGTTTAAGAATACAGAATTTTCAACTATCACCATCTTGTGCTCCTCTTATTCAATTGATTAGACACGTATGTATCAGTCCTAATCTAATAAGCATTATGCATCATGGGAGAAATCTGAGGTCTTTATTATAATTCTTAACTAAATCTTAGACTGTTACATGGGTAAAGCCAACTAACATACTCTAATCAACTTTGCTTAGGATGACAATTTTATTAGATGTCCATATGGAAGGGTATCCTTTGGGGTTCCATTTATGAAAATAGCTTTGACTTTTTGGGAAACAGAGAAATAGCTCAGAAAAGACATGAAAATCTGGAAACTTTGGTAACATTGAGAAGAAAGGAAAATTAGATCAAGAGTTAGGTGAAGGAAAATAGAATCCCATTTCTGGAGTACATGTATGAGACCACTAACTATACTTACTTCCATAAAGTAACTGACATTCTCCCAGATTATTTATATTTAAATACATATATACACACATCGCTTTTATAATAACATTAATCAAATTATGCTTCAAAAACATTTAAAAATCAAGAGGATTTAATTTTTGTAAGTGTTATTATTTCTAGTAATACCAGGTTGGTCTCTACCTAGGAGCAGGCAAGTCTTCTATTACTAACTGTTATATTACTTCATGTCCTCCTTACCCCTCTCCTGAACTACTTGCAACATGATAATGACTCTGATTTCAACAAGAAATTATCAAGTGGATAATTTTTAGCTCCAGGTTGTTGCTGCTTCAGGCACTTTACCTGATTCTTGAGATCCAATTTGGGACATGGGCGACCTCCATTGTAAGGTTTTTCTTTTAGCCATTTGGACCGAATTCGCACTCCAATCCCACAAGATGAACTGCAAGACCCCCAACTAGACCAGTCACTTAACTTGCAATCAAATGGGCATGGGATGACACATTCTTCTTGAATATAACCTGAAAGAAAAAGATTTAAGGGAGGAAAGTCTGGTCAAAATGTACTGATAAAGTTTACTTTCTTTTTCCAGTATCATAGCTCAGATTGTTCAATAATATCACTGCAATGGTTTCAGTGATTTTCTACTCAAACAGACCATCATTTTAAGAGATAAGTACATATACTCACATCTGCATTCCAAATTTGTGCCATCTAACACTTGATAGCCAATTCTGGGAGGGGAGTAAAGAAAAGTTCACAGTCCTGCTCTCTGTGATAAAGAAATAAAGTGGTTCAGGACAAATGATGGCACCATATCCTCTCACTGACCCTTGTGTTCTATAATTCCCCAACTCCCCATCTGGGATCAGGGTGCATAAGAGAGTCCATTTTTTTAGTGTCTTTCATCTGCCAAGCTTTCACTAATAGAGCTCTTGATTCTCACTTCCTAGTAGTGTGGCTTGGAGGTGGGAGGAGGACAGAGAGTGGACAACACAATAGCAAGAGCAGGGTATTATTAAAAGAGGAACTATAGGAACAACGAAAGGTTGAAAGATGAGATTAGACTGCAATCAAGAGACATGGGTGGAAGTGCACAGGCAGATGTTCTAGCTTACCTGGCCTTGCTCTTGTCCCCAGTCCACTTCTTACTACAGTCTTTCTCTGGAGGATCTCATTACTTAACTATCACCTCTACTGATCACTACCAAACATATATTTACAATTCTTATCTCCCTACTAACTTTATAAGACCTACTGATACATTCTAATTGGATGGCCAATTATCTCCAAATTCAACGTATCTAAAACTGAGGCCAATTTCCTTGAAAAACATGTTACTTCTCTTGTATTATTCATTATAACGAAGTGCATCATATCTGATCCCTGTACCCTGGTGTGCATGCCTATATAATTTCATCCCTTTGAGTGTGGGCAGGACCTGTGAATGTAACAGGAAACCACTCCCAGGATTAGGCTATGGTATGTGGCAAAAAGGAAGAGAATTCACTGATAATAATACATCAAATTAGTTGTTTTTGAGATGATCAAAAAAGAGATTGAGAGTTTGGCCCAATACAGTGGCATGAGATGACCCTGAATTCACCTCCTCCATGGAAACACCAAATTTACACCTATTTATACAGCAATTCCTCCTGAAGAACTGTGGGCTGACTTAACAACTTCTGCACAACAAAACAGACAACATAGAGAATGGCAAGAGAGATGGCAACATGGTAATTAAAGAAACCCCAAACCCAACACTGTTAACTACGATAGTATGGAGGGGCCACAAGTAGGTTTGTCTACCTGGGGCACAGAAAAAAACCAAACAAGCTATGGTTTAAAAGAGCAACTAAAATAAAAAGGAGCCAGGCTTAGATCTCTGCCAAACAAAGCTGCTGAAATTCTCTCCAGGTTGGAGGGGCTAGAGAGCATCACAGTTTACATTTCCCCTCCATCTTGACAACATAGACAGAAGCAGGGTCCAGGCATCCTAGTCACCCTGCCACCTCAGCAACCCCCTGGGCACCCAGCCCACAATAGCTCCACAAAAAAGGCCACAGTTTAAAAGAGCAACTTGGATGGCTCAGTCCTTTAAGTGTCCGACTTGAGCTCAGGTCATGATCTCACAGCTCATGAGTTCAAGCCCCCATCAGGATCTGTGCTTACAGCTCAGAGCCTGGAGCCTGCTTCTGATTCTCTTTTCCCCTCTCTCTTTGCCCCTCCCCTGATCATGCTCTGTCTCTGTCTCAAAAATAAACATTAAAAGAAGAAAATTTAAAAGTACAACTTGGAGATAAAGGTTGCAGGCCTAGAACTCTGCTCAACAGTGGGAGAGCTGCTGGAACTCTAAGTCATAGGGCCTGTTGAATGCCACAGTTTATGTTCTCCCTCTATCTTGGTAGCATGGACAAAAAATAGGATCCAGGCACCATACCTTGCCTACTGCCTCAGTGAGACCCTTGCCCCTAAACAACACTAACCCCAGCCAGCTGTCCCGCCAAGGAGGCTCCAGGACAGCTCATACCTGGTCAGCACTGGTCAGCACTCACTGCAGCTCTAGCCATCTTACCAAGGAGACACATGCACAAAGCACCCCCAAACACTCCAGGTCTGTACCACTCAGGTTCCAGACAACTTGGCAGGGCAACCCCTTGTGGAGTGCTTGGCAACACCTGGCCCAGTCCTGCCTCAGCTCCAGCCACCCTTCCAGGATGCCCTGGTGTGCAGTACCCTGGGACACAAAACCCATGCCGATAAAGGCTGTAGGCATCCTGCCAGGGTGCCCCTTTGTGCAGAGTGCCCTAGAACACCCAAGCTTGCATCCACTTCAGCTTCAGCTATCTTGCCAGGGCAGCCCCAGCACATAGAACCCAGGACCCCTGCACGCAGCAGGCACAGCTCCATCCATCCAGCCGAAATCATCAGACATACCTCTAGTTTAGGTGAATAGATCTTCTGCCTAACTGATACAAAGTCAAGCAAAATGGGGAGATAGAAGAATATGCTCCAAATGAAAAAAACAAAAAGAAACCTCAAAAAATGAAATGACATGGAAATGAACAATATGCCTGATGAAGAGTTCAAAGTAATGGTCATAAAGATGCTCACCAGACTAGAGAAAAGAATGAATGAACCCAGTGAGAACTTCAAGAGAAAGAAAACAAACAAAAAATCAGAGTTGAAGAATACTACAATAACTTAAATGAAAAATACACTAAAGGGCATCAACAGAGAATTAGAGGACACAGAAAAATGATTCAATGATCTGGAAGACCAGGTAATGAAAAGTGACCAATCTGAATAGTAAAAGACACACAAAAAAAGTGAGGATAGGTTAAAGGATCTTTTATACAACATCATGCAAATAAACATTTGCACTATATGGGGTCCCAGAAGGATAAATGAGAATAAAAGGTGCAGAAATCTTATTTGAAGAAATAATAGCTGAAAATTTCCCTAATCTGGAGAAGAAGAGACATCCAGTTTGAGGAAGCACAAAAGGCCTCAAACGATGAACCCAAGGAGGGCCACATCACATTACATAATAGTGAAAATGGCAAAGATTAAAGATAAAGAGAATTTTAAAAGCAGCAAGAGAGAAACAACTGTTACGCACAGGGTAATCCTCATAAGGCTATCGGTTGATTTTTTTAGCAGGAATTTGGCAGGCCAAAAAAGAGTCGCATGATATATTCAAAGTGTTAAAAGGAAACAGACAAACAAAAGAAAATCTATACTCAAGAACACTATCCAACAAGATCATCATTCAGAATTAAAGGAGAGATAAGAGTTTTCCAAACAAAATCAAAAAGCAGTAAACTTGCCTTAAAAGAAATGTTAAAGTAACTTATTGGAAACAAAAGGCCATAAACAGAAAAAAAAAAAAAAAAAAAGAATGGAGGTTAAAAAAAAGATGTAAAATATGACAACATATACATGAAGTAGGGAGGGGAAAGTAAAAATGTTCTTTTAGAATGTGTTCAAACTTAAGTGACCACCAACTTAATATAGATTGCTATATATTTAGGATGTTAAAAATGCTATATATTTAGGATGTCATGGTAACCACAAACCAAAAACCTATAACAGATACACAAAAAATAAAGAGAAAGAAGGCCAAACATAGGACAACAGAAAGTCATCAATCACAGGAAGAAAGGAACACAGTAGTACATTAGTAACCAGAAAATAAGAAAATGGCAATAAGTATATCACTATCAATAATTATTCCCAATGGAAATAGGCTAAATGCTGTAGTCAAGAGATATAAATTAACAAAATAAATGAAAAGCAAGCTCCATCTATATGCTACCTATAAGAGACTCACTATAGACCTAAAGACACACACAAACTAAAAGTGAGAAAAAAAAAGATATTCTATGCAAATTGAAGTGGAAAAAATCTGGCATGGCAAAACTTATATTAGACAAAATAGACTTTAAAGCAAAGACTTTATCAAGAGACAAAGAAGAGCACTAAATAATGATACAGGAATCAATCCAGTAATTAGATAATGGTACAAATCTATGCACCCAACATTGGAGCACCCAAATACATAAAGCAACTATTTGAAGATCTAAAAGTAGATGCTGACAATACAACAACAGTAGGAGACTTTAACACGCCACTTACATCAATTCATAGATAATCCAGGCGGAAAAATCAATAAACAGTAGGTTTGAATGACACATTAGACTAGATGGACATAAGATACATACAGAAAATTCCCCCCAAAACAACACAATGAATTATTTTCAAAGGCCAATCGAACATTCTTCAGGATAGATCACATGTGAGGTCACAAAGCAGGTCCCAATAAATTTAGGAAGACTGAAATCATACCAAGCATCTTTTCCAACCACAATGGTATGCAACTACAAACCAATTATTAGAAAAAGACTGGGGAAAAAAGAACACAAACACATGGAAGCTAAATAACATGCTACTGAACAACCAATGGGTCAGTGGAGAAATCACATCAATGGAGGAATTTTAAAAAGTACCTGACACAAATGAAAACACAACACAATGATCCCCAAACTTTCCAATATAGTAAAAGGTGTTCTGAGAGGGAAATTTGTAGTGATACAGGCCTACCTCAAGAAACAAAAAATCCCCAACAATCTAATCTTATGCCTAAAGGAACTAGAAAAAGAACAAAGCAAGCCTAAAGTTAGAAGGAAGGAAATAAAAATAAGAACAGAAATAAATTAGAGAAAAAAAAAATAGAAAGATAAATGAAACCAGGAGCTAGTTCTTTGGAAAGATAAACAAAATTGGTGAAATTTGGCAAGATTAAAAAAAAAGAGAGAGAGACAAGACCCCCAAATAAACAGAATCAGAAAAGAGGGAATGACAACTGACACCACAAATACACTAAGGATTATAAGAGACTACTATGAAAAAATTATAGGCCAACAAATTGGAAAAACTAGAAGAAATGGGTACATGTCCAGAAACATACTATCTTTCAAAACTACATTAGAAAGAAATTGAAAACCTGAACAGATTGATT